GCTCTCTCAAACTTCGAAGAGTCTCTCGATTAGAATGCACCATTTAATTTAAGTTTAACATGAATAATCATAAACGTTACAAAAGTAATTTTCCCTGAAATTATCCCTATATAATTAAATCTCCTCTAAAAGGTTAATTAGTAATTTAACAGTAACTGCAACGTTTCATTAAATAATGTATGATTAGTTGATAGCAATTCGATAGGTTCAATAATCGAGCTCAATGTAAGTATCATTTATTTGTTAATATTGATAAATACCTCTGAATAAAGTTTGGTAGGCTGTAAATAGTGTTTAAGGTAGCACGAGCAAAATTTCAATAAACTTTCTTCTTAATCGAAATGTTATTCAAATCATTATCGCGATATCGCGAAATATTTTCTTAAAGTCTGGCAACGTGGTTTTATCTGTCCATTTGAATCCTAACCTCGTTTAGGATTGCGAAATTATTTTAATTTATTTTAAAATTGTTATTGAATTTTTTTTAAAATATCACGACGAATTGAGAACCTCCTCCTTTTTTGAAGTTAGTTAAAAAATAGCCAAAGTTCAAACTTTATTATAAGAAGAATCTTTAGACAACTTACCCCACTTACCCAAGTTTATTGGCTCTGAAATTTGCAACGTAAAGAGGAAAAGAGTAAACTCCAAATCTTTCTAGAATTATTCTATTCAAAGAGATTTGCGTTCAAACAAGGAACATTTTTTTATTATACAAACTAACTACTCAATATTGTTGACATTTTATATTGGACTCGCTATTGCCCGCGGCTTTGCTCGCGACTTTGCTTGCATATAGGCGTGTTATTAATAAAAAAATATACATGACTTTCTTTTTTAATAATTTTTATTAGTTTTATTGATTTTCATTAATTTTTTTTATTTTTTTATATATTTATTCTTTTTTTTATTCATTTGCATTGATTAAATTTTTATTAATTTTTATTAATTTTTAATAATTTTTATTAATTTTTAATAATTTTTATTAATTTTTATTAATTTTTATTAATTTTTATTAATTTTTATTAATTTTTATTAATTTTTATTAATTTTTATTAATTTTTATTAATTTTTATTAATTTTTATTAATTTTTATTAATTTTTATTAATTTTTATTAATTTTTATTAATTTTTATTAATTTTTATTAATTTTTATTAATTTTTTTTAATTTTTATTAATTTTTATTAATTTTTATTAATTTTTATTAATTTTTATTAATTTTTATTAATTTTTATTAATTTTTATTAATTTTTATTAATTTTTATTAATTTTTATTAATTTTTATTAATTAATTTTTATTAATTTTTATTAATTTTTATTAATTTTTATTAATTTTTATTAATTTTTATTAATTTTTATATATTTTTATTAATTTTTATTAATTTTTATTAATTTTTATTAATTTTTATTAATTTTTATTAATTTTTATTAATTTTTATTAATTTTTATTAATTTTTATTAATTTTTATTAATTTTTATTAATTTTTATTAATTTTTAATAATTTTTATTAATTTTTATTAATTTTTATTAATTTTTATTAATTTTTATTAGTTTTTATTAATTTTCACCCATGTTTTCCCCCCTTAAAATGTTGAAATGCGAAAACCCTAAAACACTTCGTTATTTATTTATGATTAGAACCTACAATTCCAATTTTCAAGCTTCTTTTAATAAATCGATATTTTCAAATAAGCTTTCACCCCCCCCCCCCCCGTTCCCCCCCCTTGAAATGTTAAAATCCAAAACCCTAAAACACATCATTAATAATTTGTACTCATTAGCTGCAATTCCAATTTTCTTGTTTCTAACTTCAAAGAGAACAAAAAATAATATACTCCCATATAAACTTTTACCCTCCGTTTCCCCCCTCAAGACACATTATTATTAATTTGTACTTAGTAGCTGCAATTCTAATTTTCATGTTTTTAATTTTTAAGAGAACCGAAAACATAGATACTTCCAAATAAATTTTCAACCCCCCATTTCTCCCCTTAAAATGTGAAAATCCAAAAACCCTGAAACACATCATAAATAATTTGTAGTCAGTAGCAGCAATTCCAATTTTCATGTTTCTAACTTCAGAGAGAACAAAAAAATCGATAGTCCCATACAAACTTTAACCCCCCATTTCCCCCCCTTAAAATAGAAAAATCCAAAAATGCTGAAACACGTCATTATTTATTTTTGCTTAATAGCTGTAATTTAAATTTTCGTGTTTCTAACTTTAAAGAACAAAGACTTTCATTAAAAGCTCCCTCCCCCCATTTCCTCCCATTTCCTCCCATATCCCCCCTTTAAAGTAAAAATTTCCAAAAATCCTTTCTTAGCGGATGCTTACGTTATAAAATAAACCTATGTTCCAAATTTCAGCTTTCTCGGCTCAGTAGTTTTGGCTGTACGCTGATAGGTCAGTCAGTCAGGACAAACAATTTTATATATATAAAATAATTATACCTATTTATTGAGTAAAACTTATTTAATTTTAGGTCTACCAAGTAAGTGCACTATCATATGTTCGGTTAACATTTGTAATATTAAAGCTAGAATTACCACACAACATATAATGTTTATAGCATTATTCAGTAATCAATAAACAAAAGGAAAAGGTAGTACCTTTTAAATTCACAGAATATTCTACATTCAAAGGTAACTGCAATTCTTGTTACAGTAAAAAGCTCAAAATAATATATTAAATTATTTTACATGGTTCTATTTGTTTATGGTGGGTGCACGTGCACACATAGTGTTGCTTTCTTGTTGTGACTTCTAAACACCATCGAAGTGAATAACCTACCGTCACATCCACATTGTGTTATTAGAAAAGACCACTGTTGACAAAAGTTTGAAGTTCTAATGATTTGAGGGTATCGATTTTTCTTCGAATTAAAAAAATTAAATGTATGCTTTATATAAATAAGAGTAAATAGATATACAGTATGTCCCCCTAAGTTCGAATCATATGGAAAACTTTTGTTATTATTAATCTTGGGAAAAAAAGTTCTGCATTATCTGAAACCTAGAATACAGTCAATCAAATATCAAATTTTTATAGTGGTATACGAGGTTTGTTAAAATATATGAGTTTTACTCAAGAGTAAAGTACCTTTATTCTTTATACGACTGATAAAATTTGATATTTGATGGTTGTATTTTAGGTTTTAGACCATGCTCGACTTTTATAATAAAAAAGCTTTCCTATGCCACCAACTGTCTACGTAAATTGACGGCATATGAAAATCTTTTTTATTATTAATATTGGGAAAAAAGGTATTCTTTACATAATTTAGACTAGTCTTAAGCCTAGATAAACTATGAATAGAGGCACGGAATATGAGAAATAAAAACTCATTACTGCTAATTCAACTTTAACACTTAATAAACTATAAAAAAATCCTGTCTTCCATAAATTAAGGGTTAAAAAATAAGTGTGACATAACACTGAAACAAACGAAGATATCAAACTTTTTATGTTATAAACAGGTAATCCTTTTTAAAACGTTTTAATTACTTTAGAACAATTCATATTAATATCTGTGAGATTTAATTAACCATAGATTTGAGATTGCAATGGTTTTCATCTCATCGCCATTTTGTAATTTCGCCATACAACTCCATACCAGGAAGATAATACAAATTTCGTTGTAAATTGTAAATGTAAATTAAAAGGTTTAAATAAATATTATAATATTATTTCTACTTATCTTAGAAACTTAATAACCATATTATTTATAATTATCTTTTTAAGGTAATAACTTACGATAAACAAAAATATGCACTTACTGGAAAGTTTTGATTTGTTATTTTTTTTTTTATTTTAATTACTGTCATTTTAGATAGATGTAACTTTAATATTGATAACATTATGATCAGAATCATAGATTTATTAATAACATTCCTAATTACTATTCATTTAATTAATAATATAAATTTCCTAAATATTTGACAGTTTATTTTCCTTGTTATTCTTTCATTCCAAATATCAAAATAACAGTGTACTGTAAACTAAGATTATACAGTTTGTCTCAGAATTTATTATTTTACATACTGTACCAAAATTTTATACAAATTTATTTTAGTGACAAATATTATTATTGTTGGTAATTTTATTATTTTCTTCATAACAAAACAGTACCTATGTAAATAGTGAATATATTATGTTTTTGATTATGAGAATTATTAGTAATTTAGTAAATAAATGTCATTTATACAGTGAAAACAAACAACTAAAGAACCTAATTAATAAGTAGTGTGATGTTTGTTTATTTTAAACAACAGTTTATTAATTAATAATTTATTTATAACACTACTATTCTAATTTATATATATTTCGAATGTTTTTAAACTGATCACTATTAATATTCACCACTGTCTATCTACTAATTACCATTTATCTTCACTGTCCATATAACAACTGATTCTGATGGGTCTCCTCCACCAATTTATATACAAATTGGTGGTCTAGAATGCTTCCCCACCAAAATAGCCAGTATGTATCAGAAACGTTATCACGTTCTAGAAATAGTATCTCGTTGACTCTGGAATGTTTGCGAAAGTGTCTCCACCATAGTCGTCCCATAAGTTTGGTCTTAAGGGGTTTAATTATGTATAATAATCGGACAAGTTGAGCCTCAAAGGCCAAATAAGACAGAGAGAGACTTGTAGGGTTAGAGCATGAATGAATAATGAAATGGCTCACATAACAGTAGTATTCAATGAAAATCTTGAAACTTGCTAATCTCTATGATCACTGTATTAGTAATATTATTATTTTTTATAGTCCTTAAAATTACCTAAAATTGAAGAGGCGTTTAAAAAATTATGATCTACAGAGAGAGAAGTTTGTTGGAAAAAAACATTTTTCTAGCATAACTGCCTAAACCATTTTAAGAATGTACAGGTGCCTGTAGCCTTACAGTTGACTTCTTATCATTGCTAGCAAATGCTAAAATGACTCACAATATTTGTATTGTTTAAATATTTTCTAATAGAGATTTAATCATGAGAGGCCTACAGAATCTAAGGTTAGTTAGACACTCATAGCTAAAATTGGTACAGATGCAGAAGTTTTCTGGGAACAAACACCTTGGCGGTGTATCTGTATAAACCATAAACTTTTTTAAGTGTATATCTAATCTATTTTTGTATTATATGGGAAATGGGAGATACATGTATGTATTCTAAAGTATGTTCTATTTACATTTTGCTAAGATCCCTAACAATGTATCGTTCTTCCTTGCATTAAATATGTTTTTTCTTTTAACAATTTAGCCCACCTACACGTTCAATATTAGATAAAGTAGGGTTTTAAGTTACATAAAAGTATTTTAAGCTCATAGCTTTAATATGAAAGTAAATTTTTGTTCTTTTATCTAAGATTTTTAAGTTTTTTGAAACATAAAAATATATATTCCGGTTTAGCCCAAAACAGCCATTTAAAAAGATAAAAGTACTTTCCGATTGTGATGTAGTTATATCGTATGATTTATGTTTTGAGAATAGCATCTAAAACCTGCTATTGTTTCAAGTTTATTGAAAATCATCGTACACCAATTAAAAGAACTTACCTATTTCCACAAGTTTAAATTTATTGAAATCGAATGAGAAATTTAGAAGTTACAGCAATTTAAATAATAACAGTCTCAATAGCTTCTCCCACTCTTATTAAGATAGATACCCCAATGAGACTTAGGCCAATATAATGCAGAATATTTTAAGCTTTCTAAAGGTGTTACCATTTAATATTTAATTATGAATTGAGCTACTTTGCGACAAAATACTGATTTTAAAATCAATTTGCTGGATTTCCTCATGGCCACTTTAATTATATTTTATTCCCTAAATTTCAATGTCTAGCAGTTTTCATGATATGGCTGGTGAAATACATTAATAAAACAACCCATATAAAAAATAGTTAATATAGATTAAATCGAAGACTAAAGGAATCAAAAAAGCATCTAAAATGGATAAAGAAAGTTAATAAAATATTTACAACAGTATCCTATAATAAGAAAACCATTAATCGGAAATACACTGAGTGTAAATTTTTAACTAGAACAAATTATGTAACAAAATTTCTGAAATGGGTCAATTTTTATTTTCAATGGGACATATTACAGATATGTTTGTTTTTTGTTTTTAGTTATCTGAGAGGTTGACAGAATACCAACTTTTGCCTTTTCAATTGAAAAAAATAATATAATATATTATATTTTATTTTTTTGTTGATTTTTAAAAGCAATGTATCGGAAAAAATAAAATAAGGTGATGTTTACTGAAATTACTTTAACGCGAAAAATGTCCCGTCAACTCTGTTGCTGACAATATCCAAATCGATAATGAAAATATCTCGAACATTTTGTAACATTAATTGCTTAATGAAATACTTAGGGTTGCTGCAATCCCCTAAATAATTAAAAAAATAAAACAAGCTTTTTGTTATATGCCCCAATGGAAATAAAAATTGACACCCCAGGCAGCACTCATTAGTATAATTAACGTATTTTATACGTAATTCCCGTTTAATTTTGGTATTGGTTGATTCCTTATACATTTTCAGTCTACCATTATTATACATAGCGTTTTTTAAAAAACATATTATACGTTTTTTACATATCCTATGGTATATAACTGTAAATTATTCTACGTTTAAATATAGGTACCAATATACGACTATTTTTAGATTGCGATGAACGATTTATAGACAGTAAGCCTAAGGCCTCTTTTCTGTAAGCGTTTTTTGTCGCTTGTCGCAGGGCGACAAAAAACGCGACGTTTTCTAAATGCACGTTGTTAAATGTGCGCTTTTATGCATCGACGTCAATCAGCCACTCGCCGCCTGTGTCGCGGCATACTGAAATCCTGTCGTGTGGAATTACAAAACGCATCGCGACAGGCGTTTCAAAAGTACATTGATTTCAATTGGTGCTTTTATGCAGTGCGTTTATTGTCGTTTGTCGTTGTCATTTTGGTCAGTTTGCAGAGTTGTGTTGATTTGTGAAGAAGTACCATTGAAAATCTGGACGTTGAATTTTTAATTGACGCAGTAAAAGAAAAAACATGTTTGTGGGATTCATCATCGGAAGATTACAAAAACTTAGAACTATAAGACTTGCTGTTGTAATTCCCACTCGGTAGATGTAATGCAAATCTATGTATGTACATCCTGTAGCCAAATATCTGTAAAACAGATTAATAAATCAGGTTCATTAATATAAAATCCGTTAATTAGATTCCAATTGAAGCTAATTTTAAAATAAGTTCTTATTTTAGTTTTTAGGTAAAGCAGTTCAACTTAAGTGGAAAAATTTGGGAGACACTTTTGTTCGTCATAGACGTCAGAAGTCACAAAAATCGGGAGACGGAGCTAAACCTGCAAAAACATACATCTATGCTAATCAATTACAGTTTTTGAAAAAGGTGACTGATTCTTGTCAGACAGAAACTTTACTACCAAACACATTACAAGAGAAGTCAAGATGATCTCGATCTATCACAAGACCATGATGAAACGCAAGATAGACAATTAGTAGATGTCAATGGGAAATCCCAAACCCAAGTTACTCCTAGTAGAAGTACTCAGTTTAGAAGAAATAAATCTGATTTAGAAAGTAAATTAATAAATTATAAGGGCTCCCAGATCAAGCAACCATCACCAGTGATACAAAACCAATCAAAAGAAACTGATGACTTGGCCTTCTTTAGATCATTACAAACGAGTTTAGATACACTTACTCCCAATGAAAAATTGAACTTCCGAATGGATGTGATGCAATTATTAACTCGCTACACAAACAGAAAACCAAACCAAGATATACCTAATTTTCCAAATTTTACTCCCGCTTGTCAACAGGCACAGCAATATCCAGTTATGGCCAATTTTCCTTATACAAGTTTCAATACGCCAATGCTTGCACAAACATTATATTCTACAGTATTACCTAGGCCGTCACGTACGCCATATTCTGCAGTACCACCTGAATCCTCACACACATCATGTCTCACAGTATCACCGGAGCACACATTTTCTCCATTCAATAGTAGTCGCAGTACTCGCAGTTACAGTAAGGCTATAGAGAGTGTGGCCATACCAGAAAATTCTCCAAAAGAATCAGAGGCTTCCATTATTTCCGAAGCCGAATCGATATTACCATTGTGTATCTACACATTAATACTATTATTATACTTATTTTCTCAATAATGGTCTTTTGTTTGTACTTACCTCAACGTCATTGATAAGGTTTCCCCTGGTTCAAACGCAAATCCTCGTAGCAATTCCACATTTGTAATAAAAGTGCTTTTTAGCTTTTCACATAGCTTATCAAATGAGCCTGTCGACATACGGTAATAATTAAAGAATTTCTCCCTGTCGAGTCTTAATTCTGCATGAAGTGTATAATATGCGCCTCTGAGAAGTCTTGCACTAATAATTGGATGTACATCCCAACGTCTGTGGCGTATTTTTTTAATGAAATTTTTATATATCAAATACGTAAAAACAGACGGATCCATTTTTAATCACTGCCGTTGTGTGGTCCACTTGCAACAGTTAAAAATCACAAAAAAATTTCAACTAGGTTACTTGAAATTTTTTTTTAATATTAATTTCTCAATAAATTCCACGGTAACCTATATATTTTATTGTAAAAACCTAAATATTTCAGAAACCTTATTTTTATTTTTTTTCCACTCGATCTAATCAATAAATAATAGTATAATTCGAAAATTGTTGTTGAGGTCTTACTTTCTCGTAAGACACTGTACAAATACTCACATTTAAAAAAAAATTCTCAAAAATTTGCACGGTAAGGAATAGTTAAAAGTTCACTATTAGATAAATAAGGACTTCAACTATTAGAAAAAAAAATAAAGTTTAGTCATAATCTAATATTTTTTATTTAACATTGGTGGCGAAAGGGGTGGCGAAAGGACCTCCTTTGTAATTTAATTCGATTAAAATAACCTTCCAGTAAAATGATAAGAACTTCTATTCCTTGAACCCAAAGTCCATAAACTATACTCAAATTAAATGGTTTTACTTTTATGATACTTCAGAATATAAAAAAAATGAAGCGTATGTTTGTTACTGTTACGAGTGATACAAATGTCCTATAGGGAGTTAGCACAGGGCGATGTTAATGCATTAAACATTGAACTTGCATGAAGATATGCGCAGTAAAACAACTTACTGCCATAAAACCAATAAAACAGCGATGAATAATTCAACAATATGGAACTCTCAAATATTCTTTCGACTTCTCTTTGGTAAGCTAGATACCCTAACGTGGCTTTTCAAAACATAATTGCGAAACATTGTTTTTATCGCAAAATTTATATGGTAAACGTGTGATTTCAATCTTTCCTTATGGATGAAATACCCAACACATTTAGATAAATTAATTAATAATTATTAACGACGCTATATGTCGACGGACGGAAAAACTTTTTGATATACATTTTTAACCCATAACCGGTGACGTGGAGTCAGGCAGACTCCTAAAGATTTTGTAACAGCTGTACATTTCTGGCGGTGACCTTGATTTTTGTGGGCGCCTAATGCCTATGTACCTTCATTATGCGCTAGTTCAGTGATGATGTAATTATGGTTCCACTGAAAATTAAAGTGACAAAAAGTGATTTTTTGAGTGCGTTTTGTTCGTTTTGTTTACCTAAATTATATTGTTTTTTTCACTTTTATAAATATATTCCTAAAGTAGATAGCATGTATCAAATATACAATCGTTTAGTTACCAATAACATACCTTTAAACTATTTTTTATGACCTGTAAACAATATTTTGAAATAAAATAAAAACAGTAAAAACGTATGTCAAATTTATTGATGTTTTTGTTAAAAGTTTTATTAGAATTAAATGTCAGTGGAACCAAATTGACATCACACTGAACTAGCATATTATGATCAGTAGTCATAGCATTCAGTCGATATTGAGCTAGTATAAAGAGAACAGGTCTAAAATAAATATCGAAGTCTCTGTGACTCCACGTCACCGTTAAGGTAAATTTTTGCGTTGGGTGTTGTTTTATATTTTTAAGTAATATTAAATATTTTTAGATGGATTTGCGGTCTAGTACCTCTGATGGTGTTTGTCCTAAAGTGCTAAAGTGTTACAATGAAGCATATTCTGATTTATCTAATATTGAAGATGGACATTCAAGTGAAAGTGATGAATCAGCATTGGAAGATGAAAATAATCGGAATGGTGATGAAACTGAAGAAAGTGAGTCATATGAAGAAAAATAAATAAAGAAATAAAGAAGATATATAGAACCTATTGTTTAATGAAGTTATGACAAATACTATTATATAGTACCGTATACAAATTTAAAAATCCAAGAGATGCGCACAAAGTATTCAAATGAAAAACGGACAAATTTAAAGAATTGAAATTGCAATAAAATTAAATGCAGTATGAATTAGATTGTAATTATAAGAAGTATATTTTATATTACAAAATTAATTTATATATTTAATTTCAAAAATAAGAATCGGACATGCCACGATACTGATATTTTAAATATATATTTATGTGGCATAAAAAAACTTGCGAAAGTTTATAATCTAATTCATAATTTCGGTTGCAAAATACCTCTAATTTTATAATATTAATAACTTTTTGATGAGGAAAACTTATGCTATAACAATAAATAAAATACTAGATAGTTATCCAAGAATCACCCTTACATCGTTCCTAGGGCCGATAAAGCACTTTCTAATGATGCTATTCTACACTTTTTTCACCTTCAGATAACTTATCTTATTAAATTCTTGATAAAATACTTCACTGATGGATAAACATATTATTTACTTAAAAATACAGAAAATTAATTATCTGACAGATAGTAACTCTCAGATAATATATCCGTCAGTTAGTTATCTAGAAGTTTATCTGAAGGTGAAAAGACCGACCCTTAAGAAGATATTTCCAAATATTATGAGACTCTTTTTACTGATGATACTGCAAAATAAAAAAGGAAAATGCGAAATTAAATATCATTTACATTCTCAAATCTTTCTTTATGCTTGTATTATAATAATAATAATCATAATATTAAGCCTCATGTCGCCATATTAATTTTGTCAAACTAAGTATTAAAATCGAAATTACCGGAAAAAGTGTGATTAATTGGTCTAAATCAGTGCTTTACTACAATTCTAAATGGAGTTTAGTTATTACATTGCCCTATCGACTTATAAGGGGTAAAATTGTATATAAGCTGGCACAGGTTTATAAATTTCATCTGGAGGGTTGGGAAGTGTAAAATAAATCAGGTATCTCTATGTACTCATATTTTTACTTAAATACTCAAATGATGGCTATGCTTTACGAGGAATAGAATGTACTTACATAAAAAGTGTTTCCAGAATTTGTTACAATCTGCCCAATCAAGACCAAGTAATACTACTTGTTTACATCGAATAGTGGAGTGCAAATATTCTTTCATTACAATTCTTTTAAATTATTACGTAGTCCTTTAAAATAAATTCCTAAGTATGTACTACTCTATACTAAAATGTATATTTATAATTCATTATGTATTAACCCTGAAATCGTTTCCTTGTGGTCTTCCAAAATATAACGGATTAGTTTCACCCAGCGGCTAGATAGAAAAATGGAGAGACCTTACTTGGGTTCTCGAAGTCTCCTAGATGAATTGATAGGACGACAGACAGCACTGCAATATTCACTAGCCCAAAATAAGCCAATATGCAGTATTATTATGCGCAGGAGTACCTTGTCAAGCAGATAAAAACAATCGAAGGTGATAACATTAATGATAATGCAGAAAATAGTATCCTAACTATAACTAATAGGCCTAGAAGCATAAATAAAGCCAGAGGTGCATGCAATTTAAATTATATCTGGGTGACGTACCAAGTAAGGTATGGCCTTTATTTTAAGTATCGCAAACCTACAATGCGTGTAATAAAAATCATCTTGATTTTACAAGCAATACTTATTATAAGTATTTTGATGGAACTCCGAAATATTCGTTTCAAAATAAGGCAGACCATATGGCCCAAAAATCAACCTCAAAAAAGAAAATATTAGAGAACCTCAGACAACAAGAAGATACATGTATCTGATTAAGAAGGCTTAACTGCCAATAAACAGCTTAATTATTGACCTAATTAATTAAATTACACCTGAATGAAGAAAAGCAGAATTATAACAAGGTCATGGTCAAAATTTGACATAAGCTTGTAAATAAACAATTTACACATGTATAGGTTAAATATTAACAAATGGATAAAAGTATATTTGAAATAATACTGTTAAGAATAATTTCTGACCCGTAACATAGTGTTGCAAATAAAGTTTTAATATAGATCTACAATATTAAAATGTTTCCAGCATTTTATTTTCTACCAGAAGAAGGATAATCCAGCAATTTATAGTTCATTGCAGTTGAAAAAAGGTGTAGAAAATATAAGGGGTAAGTACCCTGATTTGTATACAGACTACTAGAAAACTTTAATGTGATAAAATCAAAAGCAATAGACTAGATTCTGCAGAAGATTTTGGTGAAGAAAATTGTTCTCCTACCGTACCATATTCAGAATCCATCGGATCATTTATGAATTACTATTCTACTGAAAATTCAATTAAAATACACATTTCAACATTTAGTAAACTAACTTGTCTAAACAAAAGGAAAAAAATCATTCTATATTGTATATTTTTCATCTGAATTTAAAACGATGTCTTATTTGTTTCTGTTCGTCGCTCTTATACAAATTACAAAAAAAAAACATTTGTTTGAAATGTGCGTCGCGTATAATACTTGACGAGAAGATCTTTTCATTATTTACAATGGGTTTTCTTTACCGTCTGTCTGCACTCATGATAATCAACTGTTTTTGAAAGATGATATTATTACCTCCAAATTGTATTTCTATACAAAGTAAAAACATATCTTAGCAAGCTTTGTGATTAGAACAATTGTTAACCTGATCTTTTGTTAAGAGCAGTGCTCTTTATTTACATTCTGAATATTATGCTACTGCTATAATACTCTTTAAATTAAATCGCTTTCGGAATTTTACCCCAATGCAGGGGTGAACACAATGAGAATCAATACTTTGTTGGATATGAATATTAATATCTATTAAAAATAAAAAACAATAATTTCACAAGCAAATTTAATAAACAGAAAATACTAATATTATTAGGTATTTTTGCAATTCTTTATATGTGTACACAAATAAATGTTTCTTTTAGATATTAGAATGTTTAAAATTACCGTACATTAAAGCGATTAGTCAGAAACACATTTGACCAGTCCAAAATTTACGCTATAAATAATTCAATAGTTAATTTTACAGTTGTAGAATAGAATGTCGATGGCAAAGCTGTACTTAGTAGTAAAAGGATGAGACACAGTTGTCTTTATCTTAAATATCTAATTTTTAAACTGCTTTTATTTTATGTAGGTGATTTATTTACAAAAATATTGTGACATTCAATCCCTTATCAAATCGTGTATATTCAGGCTTGGCCAGGACCAACTAAGTTTATTTATTTATTGGTTAATGTACTTTTATTTCTCATAGCATTTCTACTCAAACGTGAAGCAATTCTGTGCAGTGTGGCTTGGGGTAAAACATTACATATGAGTCATAAGTGTGCGGCGTGGCCTGTAGAGTTACATTCAGTGCGAGGCAAACTTGCCACATATGGCGATTAACGTGCTAAATACCTCTTTTTTATCATATTATTTATTATACCTCATCTATTTTACGATTTCATGTACAGCATTTATTTTACTATCATTCTACATACATTATATTATGTTGGGAATGGGGGTGTTATTAAACTGCGCCCTATTGTAAATTCTTCTGTCGATAATGCAGCAAGGAAATGTCATAATCCTACAATGACCCTTCTAATCCTATTTTGCTTCAATACAGGCAGAAGTTTTCAGTTTGTCAAAATATTTTTTTTAAGTATGTTCGGCGATAATTTTTCTCTACCTTGTTTGATTTCTTTGATTGTTCTTTTGCTAAGCAGAGGTTACTTCAAAGGTGGTCCCGTAGAAGTTTGTTTAAGATCTAATGATGAAATCCATGAAAAAATTATCAAATTCGTCATTTTTGGAATTCGTTTACAATAACTTGTAATTATTTTAGTTTAAGTGATATTTTCATGTTTATTTTTTTTTTAACTATTGAAATTACCTGAAGAGTTGTAATACGTTTCGATGTCCTAATAATACTTCATAGATTTTATATTTACTGGTGGTCACTAGTTTATATTAATTGCATATTTGGTAAAACTATAGAGAACATTAGAAAACAAAAACAAGTTATAAAAGTAATTTTAATACACTAGCTCCAAAATCATGCAGATGCCATCACAAATTGAAATTGCACATGTTCAAATTGAAAAAAGAAAAATTATAATTCTAGAGTTAGGCAAAATTTTCTTTAAAACTGAGTTTTCTCTGTTTGGAACAATTTCTCTGATATCTTTATATGCGCACCTTCAGTTAAATCGTTTAAAAACAAATTTAATTCCTTAGGCTAAGTAGGCATTTATCTGTAAAGATACAATAAATTATAATAACAACAAATTAAGTAATGTAACTGAACGTAGTTTATTGTTCTTAAACTTTCATTTTTAATAATAATTTATAGTTATAGTTTATAGATTTAAAAAAAATATTTATTTTTAATAAAAAAATTTTAAATAATATAACATTTATATGACTTCGTTCTCAGCTCATGTCAGTGAATAATATTAATATTAAGTGTGGGATTTGGAGTGGTTTCAAGATAGGCAAATCTTCCTCTTCTATTTGATAATTAGTCAGAATTTAAATGGGGGCTTCATTCTCCTCCTTACAGAATCTGCACTCTTTATCTTGTACTACTATCAGTTTACTAAGATGTCCTTTGAGTCGGCAATGCCCAGTAAGGATCCTTGTTACAATACGTAGCCTGTTCTTTCTCAGGCAGATACAGGCTTTTGATCTTTTCGGATTATATTTACCCAGAAGTATTTTAGCTTTTCTTAGTCCCAAGATATTGCTTTAATTATCGGTCTTTCTACTGCCAATTCTTTTTTAATTTCTCCTAATAGTGTGATACTGCTGATATCGCAGAACGACTCAGGTACCAAAAAAGGTGTTTAAGCCCCTTTCCTTGTAAAACTATCTGTAATCTCGTTACCCTGTACCCTGTTATGTCTCTCTTCTTATATGCACAAATTTTTTAATT